TTAATATCGTGAAGAAGGATTGTTCTGAAAATCAACTTCGTAATAACATTATACCAATAAAATCAATTACATATAATCAATAATCAAATACGCTAATAAACGTAATTTCTAAAAAAAATGAGAGATTGAAATTATTTAAATTATTTATAATTTTGCAGGTACACAATTTAGAAGTAATTGATAAAAATGGTGTTCAATTTGGAGGAGGAAATACCATAAAACGATAATAATATAAAGACATTAGATCTGAGTACATTGAAAGTTCTTGATGCCAGTGCTATAATCTTGGATGTGACTAATGCAAAGCTTGTGAACAATAATATTGCCCTAATAAGAGTGGTATCAAAATAGTTGACAAGCGCAGTAGTACATTAAAATAATAAAAGTACATTGAATTCTGAAGGTAATGCAATGCAACCGACACTTTCGACGTTAGAAAACAAACTGACATATCATTGAACGTGCTAGTTCAAAGTGAACTTTTATAAAATGTATATCCTTTTGTTGCATATATACGTAATAATGATTTAACAACACATGCACACTAGATGTTTATAATAATGATGTTAACCCATTAAGTCCGGGAGATGCACATTTTTTAGTTGATTTTCGACCTTCATTCTCAATAGGAAATAAGATTAATATTGACTTGAAAGTGACCAACCCTATTTTCGAGTATGCTCTTTCGATTGGCGTGGTCAAAATTGCATTTAAATTGCTTAAAAAACCAATATGGCGCATTTTAAATAAAAAATGAACAAAATTTCGTGTGTTTTGTTTTTTGTGAATTTTTTTTCGCATCGATAATGTTGCGGGATCGATGCCTATTCGCAACCAAAAGTGCACAAAATCTATGAACTTCAACTAGAAATTTTTTTGTTTTGCCCCTAATCAACCTAACCTCTTCAAAACGTCAATATGTCGGAAAAATGAACCTTATTTGATCAATTATGAACATTATAGATGAAATTCGTATCTCTAGTGGTATAATTGTCCCTAAAATATAGGTACAGGGGTTTTTGGGGTCGCTGATCAGGAATTTGCGGTTAGATTTTTAAAATTCAAGATGGCGGATCCGATATGGTACCGAAATTCAATAAAATGCTCCAAAATCGCAAGAAAATGTGTATATGGGGGTTTTTGGGGTAAGGATTTTCCTGGTAAGGATGGTTTAACGAGGGTCGTCATAGTGCAAACGGCCACTGCAACCTTCAAGCGACCTGTTACCAAAATTTGCGTTCTACCTATTAATCAAGCTGAAGGAATATTCGAGAACTCCCTGATTCCTATGAGGCCTCTCATCCATTCATCCCCCTCTCCTCCCTCGTCCAGTATCTCCTCCATGCTGCTTTCTTTTCCATTCTCTCTCCATTTGGCACATCTCTCCAGAACGTGATCCCAAGTCTCCTCTTCCATACCGCACACCCTGCAAATTCTCCTTTCCTCCTCTTCTCAATATCTTCCTCCCCTCATCTCATTTCCTAGTCTGAATCTCGCTATTCTGATCACCTTCCTTTCTTTTCCTCCTTCCCTCAGATATTTAGGTTTAATCCTCATGTAACCTTCGTTATATTTCGACCCCCTCATCTTTTCTTCTCTTTCCTGTTTTTGGATGTCCTTGTCCCTCCTAGCTATCTCTTCCACTATATCCAGTTCCATTATTTTTCTCACCTCTATCGCCTCTGCCGAGAATCCTCTCTTTTCAAAAAATCTCTTTCTCTCCTCCTCCCATCTCGAAGTCTCTTCCGTTTTTCCCCTCCTTATCTCTTCACAACATTTCCTCGCCAACTCTCCTCCCCCTCCTTTTCTTAATTTCTCCTCGTATCTCAATGCCCTTCTACCTGCTCCCGTCCTTAGCTTACCCCATTTGACCTCTTCCCTAACCATGTATGCCGGCGTCCTCCAATCTAAACCTAGAGTCCATCTTATATATTTCTCCTGCAATTTCTCTATCGTCTCCCTTTCCTTCCACCCCCATATTTCCGCTCCATATAGCATTACTCCTTCCACTAGTGACTCAAATAACTTTCTTCTTCTTCTCCAGTTCCCCCCAAATCTTCTTTTGCCTATTCTTTTACCGCATCTCTCATTTTCTTCCGCTATCCTCCGCAGATTGAACTGCATCTTTCTTTCATTCCATGTCCAATCATCTTCTATTCTCTCCATTCTCCCCTTCAGTCCACTTTTTTTCATCATTACTTCTCTTTTCATCTCCATACTACCTAACTTCACCACTACCATTCTTCTCCCCGCTTCTCTTCTTCTCCCCACTTCCCTTACTTCCTCAATTCCCACATTGAGTCTCAGTATATCTTTCAGGACTTTTTCAGCTTCTACCCGTACATCGCTTGTCTTCCCTTCTAACCCTTTTATTATAATGTTCTTCCTTCTTTCTTCTCTTTCCATCATTTCCATTTTCCTCTCTATCTTTCTCATCCTTTCCCCCTCCCTTGTCCTTCCGTCCCTATTCCTCTCCCCCAACCTCCTGGCTCCCCCCTTCTTCCTTCTTCTTCGTCCATGCCTCCTGCTCTTCTAACCTGTTCTCCAGCAGTATTATTCTTTCCTCCATATCTTCTTTCTCTCTTTTCCATCTTTTTTCTCTCTCCTCTAGATCCTTCCTCATTCCTCCTATCTCTCTTCTTATAATGTCCTCTGTTCTTTTTCCTTGATCTTTTATTTCACCTAGTTCCATTTTAAACTCTCTTATTAGCTTCTCCAAATCTTTTTCCCCTCCTTTCGGGGGAAATCTTTCTACCTTCCTGCTCTTTTCGAATGCCCTTCTCTCTTCCTCTTCCCCTTCCATTTCCTCTTCCCGTTTTCTTTTTATCAACTCATCAATTGTTCCTATACTACCCCTCCTTCCTCTTTCCTGTTTCATAAACTTCTCTATATTTGACTTTCCTATTTCTTCCCTCGTCATCCACCAATCCTCGTTCCTCCTGTGGCATATACTTTATGCCGCCTCTCTATGATTGTTTCCGCGCGCCTCCTGGCGCCCTCCCGTTCCGTGAGTTTCCCTTCTATTCTTTTTTCTTTCCGTGCCTTCCTCTCTGTCCCGTCTTTCGTCATCACTAACTCCTCTAGTTTCCTCTCTTCAGTTTCCCTATTTTGCTCTTCAACCGTCTAACCTTTCTTTTTCTCTCCTTCTCAATCTAACCTTCCTCCACCTCTTTCACTCCTTTCTCCACACTCCTTCAATCTATAGTAGCCGTCTTCCTCTCCTTTTTGGCCTCTCTTGCCACTCTCCTCCACTTCTATTTCACTTTTTACGTATCTTTCTATCGCTACTGATCCTACACACTGTTCACCGTCTGAGCTCTCTAACCGGAAGTCGTTGAGCCTTCTATTATATATATAATTTATAAAAGATTGAGTTTTTTTTTTAAATTTGAATTAATTTTAATTTACCAATTTTAATAACGTTATATGTACAAATATAGTTGCTAAAACGCAAATAAATATTACTTTTATTATATTAACATATATTTGAAAATATATATTGAATGATGATATTCGTATACTCGTAAGATTAAAATCATAGAAAGTGACAATGCCTAATCGAGTCAACAGGATATTAATGTTAATTATAATTGTGTGAAATTATGTACCGCGTATGTAGTCCTCCTCGCGACGCTGATGGATTGACGCATACGTATTAACTACCGCGGTAATATCACTTTAGTTAAATTGACACTACAATCTAACAAATTTTGATGCTATGGCATCTTAATTAGATCTTAATAATATGTTGAAAGACATATATTACTATTTAATAATGAAAGTAGTTAATACGTATGCGTCAATGCTGAAAATCCATCAGCGTCGCGAGGAGGACTACATACGCGGTACATAATTTCACACAATTATAATTAACATTAATATCCTGTTACAATGACTCGATTAGGCATTGTCACTTTCTATATAATTGAAAGTTACATTGCACACATGTCATTTTATTGAATATATACCGGCAATCAAGAGAAAAAACCTTCTTCTCCATTTTCATTTCTTCTTTTTTTTGGAAAATATACTCTTTTTGGCAACTAATATACTCTTTTTCTGCGGCCTTTTGTTGGTAACCCTAGAGTCTGATATACACACACACGCACGCACGCGAAATAAATATTGTCTTGTATCTGTTTCTTACATATAGTATACGTATTGTTTCTGCATCTCCTCTCTTCGAGTGAACCTCTTATCGCGACTTGCATATTTCCGGCGAGCTAGTCCGCGCGGAAGTTAGGTTGTTTCAATATTATTTTATAATAGAATACCAATTGCTGCGTTCAGCAGAAAAAGCAGCATTGCAACCGTTATAAAATTCTTGAATATAATTGACTTATATATTTAGATCTAATGAGGAAATAAGGGCAAAACCAATTATATTAAAGAATTTTACAACAGTTGCAAAGCTGCTTTCTGTGCTGAACGCAGCTAATATTATAGAAACCTTCAAATTACGATCAAAGTTTGTTCATAATAATGTTGCATACAACGTTAAATACAACATATTTAAAAACGTTATATGTGTTATTAAAAATTATTGTAATAACGATGTAATGGTGATGTTTTGTTTACTGGGTATACCAAGCCTATAAAATTATAACACTACATTCCTAAATAGCAACATTAAATTAATGTAATCTATATATTTTTCATTACGCGTGCACGTAATGTACCCTATACCTCAACGCTTTTGCGTGCGGGGAATAGCCAATACCTCAAGCCGTTGAGTTATTTCTCTAACCCCACTCTTCTGCGCAAAAACGTTTCGGTATAGGCACATTATGACGAGCACTTGTAATAAAAAATTCTACGTGTAGCGAGTGGGGGCACATTTGTTTATAGATCGGCACGGGCGCACGTACGCACTCGCTTCGCTCGTACGTTCGCGCCCGTCCCGCGCTATAAACAACTATCCCCCACTGTTACACAATGTACTATTATTATACATATTTGCGTAAATAAAGAGAGAATTTGAGTTTATCGTTTACTATTACCTGTAAATACTATCAGTGACACTCAATCGGCCTTGATATCTACCAGATACTTGTCCGACAAATCTCATTGGAAATACACCGGATATTTTGTTCAAGTAATAGATTGGTAACACTGCTTGATATATATCGCTATTTATGAACTTGTTATTTGCCCCAACGGAATTCACGTCGTATGAGTCCACATTTATAGACTTGTCTACACACATATATAGAAAACTACATTATTCTATGTTATTCATTCAAATCAACAAGTAGAGGCACATAGTATTAAATTCAATACATTAATTTCCTTTATACACAATCGTTTAAATTCTGCAAATATGATTGTTAAAATCAGGGTTGGTAAATAACGCGTTATTTGTAACGCCGTTTTACAAGTTGCTTTTTTCGGAAACGGATAGGTAACGATATTATATTATATTTTCTTCGAAGTAACGTTCATGGTAACGCAGCTATATTTTTGGGGTAATGGTAACGATTTCACTAGTTACTTTTATTATTACTTTATTTTTAGCCACATAAAAGTTTTAGTCGTAACTAGAGCTATAGAAAACAGAGATGCGACGTTAAAGGAATAGATTTGATTTGTTTTCTTAATCACGTAATCACGATGCCTTTTTTCACATTAAATTGACACTTATAGGCTGCGTTCCGTTTCACGCATTATGCGCATAATGTATCATTTTATTTTTCTTTAATATTCGGTGATAACATAATGTATTATACGCACTATGCGTGAAACGAACACACCTATAGGTTAATGTATAGCATATAGACTGTAGTGATGAGACCAGCGAGATTACGTGAGATTCTACCCTAATAAATATGAATATAGAAATATATATATATATATATATATATATATATATATTGTGACCGTACTTAAAAAATCTTAATTCTATATTATATATATGTATTGTGACCGTACTTGTGAGAAACGGCACAACTTCGTCACTTCATCCGTTGCTCTATTTACGCGATAGCTCAAAAAGATGGACAAAATAATGTAAATAGCAAAAGTGCGGTTCTTCCTTTTAATTTTATGTGCTGCGATATTCGAGCCGTACAAATTTCGTTGGGCGCCAGGCACGAGAGAACATGCCACTCTTCGCCCTAAATTTTAAGATGTTACGCTCGGACAAAGAAATTACAGAGCAACGGAATTCGCGACGGACAAGATCGGCTAGCTCAGCCAACGGAATTGGCAGAGGGGGTGGTTCGCGATAAGCGGGGAAGATGTCGGAGAACGAGACAGAGGCAGATAAAAATAATCAGACAGTAATTATTATTAACAATGACAAAGAGTTTCCAATTTTAGCCCAGTCCCCGGGTGACTTTCGATTCCGATAATCTCCGGATTGATGAAATTTGGTGAGATGGTGTCTTTTGATGTACAAAATAGTAATTTATGTTTTGCATACAAAATTTAGCATGGTTACGGTCGCCATATTGGAAAAACATCAAAAAATCGAATTCTTTTCAGAATTTCGGCAATAACGTTGAAAATATGCATTGTACGGAAATTAATGTGGTATACAAAATTGTAGCTGATAAAATTCTGCACAATTTTTTTTTTAATGAACTTTGTAGCACTAATAGAACTGGAAATTGAATTTTTTTAAAACTGAGATATTTTGTTACTTTTTGAACAACTTACGTTTCTTCGCGCTTGAAGCACAAATTACGCTAAGATGGCGGCTCGTAGACAAAAAATGCTTCAAATAAGATCGAAAGGTAATTTATTACCCTTCAAATTGTTTTTTTGAAGAACCTCCTACGACCAATACTTCCCGAGGTATAACAGCTTGAAACAAATTTTCTTACAAAATTTTATGTAAATTTTCGACTTTCTTCGGTAATAAATCGGAAATGGCTACTTGTACGATAAAAAGTCATCAAATATAGTCAAAAAGTAATTAAATTTGCTACATTTTACATCGAGCAACGTTTTATTATTATCAAAATTACTTCTTAAATATAATCATATTTGGTAAAATTTACCATTTTCTCGTATATAATATATATATGGGTCATTCCAGCCAAATTAGACAAACGCTGCGCGGGGGGGTCCGCCGATTTTGCTGCCGATTTTTTGTGTTAAAGTACTTACTGAAAAAAGGCTTTCCCCAAAATTTCAGCCCTCTATGTGTCTTACAGCCTGAGATAGAATTTTTTTAATTTTAAAAAAAGTGCAAAAAACGCCATTTTTTGAAAAATCGCACAGGGCTTTCTATGAGACCAAATTCAACGTATAAAAAAAGAAAATTTTTGTTTTCACGTCAACTTTTAGAAAAAAAATATTACGATTTATTGAAATGCAAAATGCGAATTTCACAAAGCCAAACGTAAACTCGAATTTTGTCATTTTTTCGGTCATGTTTGAAACAGTGCTGACCTACGTGGTTAGCATACTTAAGATCTACCTGGGACCACTTTTTAGGTCATGAAAAAACCTTTAATTTCTTTTTTTAAACGTTCAATTTCATTAAAAAGAGCCGATGTTACAGCGCTTTAAAGTTGGGTGCTTTTACGAAAATCGCTATGTTGGCAGCACTGCCATCAGTTTCTACATATGTTTATTGAAATTTAAATTCTGGGAAAACTTTGTCCAAATGTAGTAGAAAACTGCCCTAAAATTTGATTCTGCCCCTAGGCTTCGTTTTTGAGTTACAACATTTTTTCTAACCTCGTTTTTGCATTATTTTCATACAAAAATACGTAAATATGGTATTATCACGTGTATTTTGTGTTTCGTTCATTGTGTTCATAATAATAAGTGGGTAACAATACATTATCAGTATATTTATGTGTGATTTTGAACCTATGATACCAAATGTCAAAAAAAATTAAAATATTTAGATAGAAAAAAGCAGCATAAATCCACATTTAACAAACTAATAAAATAACATGCATTAACGCATAACAGGATGAAACCTGCATTTACTGATGAGATTAAAAAAACCATTTAAGTCTACAATTATATTGATCATTACTTACCAAAAAATATGTTTTTTTCGTCATAGTTGGTAGAAATGTACGCTATTTCTGAAATAACTGACATACTAATATCATTTTATTTTTTTTCGGATTAATTTATTTAGGATATTTTTACAATTTTTTTCTCTTCATCGAAGGACGTAATTTTAACCTCCATGGTACATTTATCGATTGGTATGTAACAATGATAGTTCCTGGTATTAGAAATAGTTTTCGCTGATTCAAAACGTTTTATCAATTGCCTTCGTTTCTCTTCAACAGTCTAATTGTTAACCCAGTAAAACCTGTCCAAAATAGCGGTAAATTACGTATTATGTTTATTTGGTGATAAAAGACTTTTCAGTTGACTTTTTTAGTTACCTGGTGGTCTCTAAATTGTCATTTAAAAACTGAAACATCTGTTGCGGATCTAAAATTTGTTGATCAGCTGGTCTTTGAAGTGACGCTCTCCTGACAAAACGCTTTGCTACAGCACTAATTCCGTCGCATGGATTTTTTCCGTGATTTGTAGCAAAAAAATTATAGGATTCTACTTTTATTCCAAAGTCATCTTCATGGTGGCATACATTAATTAGGTGATTTCTGTGTAATTAAAAAAAATGATTATTCCAATTCAAATTAGATTAACTTTTTTTAATTCATTTTTTAAACTGTAATCAGCTATCGATTATTATAACAAATATTACATCGATGTTAAACAAACTGAGCTGAAAAAATTAGTTATTTATTTATAATTTATTTGTGTAAGAAATGCTAACTTGTTTTTATACTGAGCAGGCGCTCCGTCAGAAAAGTAAACAGCTTTTTTATCCACGGAAAATCTTCTTTTATCGTTGTTAAGACAGGTTCTTGAAATGTGTTCACGACATAAGCGTTATGTTTCATATAATCACTGATTACGCAGAAACTTGCACATTTTAATTCCTCTTCATCGGCAGCCTTATAATACATAGTAAACGGATGCAATGTTGCTTGTATATTATTAAAATAGAACGCTTGAACGGAATCTTGAGCTATAAACAAATAATTCTCAGCAAAATCCATTATTATTATGCATGTATCAAATGTTAGCTTTTGTTTTGCATCATAAAGAAATTTTTTTTGTGTTTCAGAAAGAAAATGATGTTTAGTTAGTTCCCACAACTCATCTTTTAAGTTTTCCATAAAGTCATCCGTTGATTCTGTTATTGACTGAAGAGTAACTCTGCTAACTTTTTGCGATGATTGGCCATCCTGGTTTTTATTTACCTTTATTGGTTTCCAGTTCATATAAGTTATCTGTCTGTCCTTTTTCACTAAATTATTTTGTTCAAAATAATCGTGAACAGCTTGCTCTCCAGGACAATTTTTACATAAATGTTGCATACAATTAACATTTTCAGTTGAACACACGCAACATTCAAGAATATTTCGGTAAGAAATAGATGGATTTAAAGCTTGTAATTTCAACTTAATGTTTTGATGCTGGCTACAGATACATACCGAATGTGTACCAGGGCTTCCAGCTAAGACGCATTCTTGAGGACGTAGACTTGCGAAGTAAGAAAACCCTGGTATTTTGTCAGTCTTATTTTTTTCTACGAAGATTTCATAAAGATTTTTTAGATTATAAAGTAATAGTCTTTTTTGGCAATGTTCTTTTTTCTGTGTCTCTTCGTTGAAAACACTAACATATTCTTTCATGCCAGCACAAATTCTGCTATTTGCATCATCTCTGTAGAACCCTTTGATCGAATTAATTAATTCTTGTTCATATAACTGTTTGGTTTTTTTAGGAAATTCAGCCATAACACCTTTAACGAAAAAATTAAATTAAATTAAATTAAATGCTTATTAAATGTTTTTTTTAACACAGTATTTTTCCTGTTGACGCCACCTAGTAACGTAATGATATCCCACAAAAATTCTATAAAAGATTAGATTAAAAATATTTCAATACTTTTACATTCTGTTTGAGTTAGACTTTTATAGACTTTTTTTCTGTGATGGCATTGTATTTTTATGAGGACACAACAATTTTTTACTTTTTACAATTCTAATATCTATAAATTTAATACGTATCAAGATATTTTATGTATACATCAAATCAAGAGCTTTTAAAAATCAATTCATAAAAATTAACAGCTTTAGTGTCTATATTTAACAATTTTCAACTCAATATGTATGTAAATAATTTTTCAATAAAATATTATTATATAAAAATTCTTAAAATTGTTTAATGTATGTAAAAGATAAACAAACATTATTGTTAAAAATATTTAAGTTATTTAAAAGTAATAATATTATAAAAATCATACAAAACTAATCCACTAGAAAATTCATCTTTGGAAATGGAAATACATTAAGTTGACACCCTATATATTACCGTACCCTAAATGATATTAATATAAAAATTTAAGAATTAAAGTGAGAGTTTAATGGGATTCTTAAATGATTATTATTTAATTAAAAAAATCTATTATTATACTTACCAAACTTTTCTCTCAATTCAATTGCTTTTCTAAACATATAATGTGTATAATTAAAGAGTTCTGACACTTTTTTAAACTTCCAGTTACATGGCAATAATGTTAACAAACGAATTTTTTCTGCAACATTAACCTCGTCATATCTAGATTTTATATTTCGAATGCACGTTTGAAGTGATAACTGATCCTGTTGTAATTGTTGGAGATCTAATAATTCATCAAACTTAATATTATATGCATGGCTTATTTCACTTGCAACTTGTTTAGTAATAGTATCTACTAAATTCAATGCATTTCTTTTAAAACGGTCATCTGACCATTTTTGTCGCTTAGGTGGTGACAAGTGGAAAACATCCAACATTCTTTTTAAGCCCTTTCGTCTATTTTCTTCTTCTTGACTAGTAGTATAGTAAATTGATCCGGTATTAGACTGAGTGATTGTATCGGACTGTGTATATGTTGATAAATTAGAATAATTAGAAGAAACAGGTACCTCCGGAGAATCTGCAATTTTTTCGTTTTCTTCTTTAAACGATTTTATTTTTGAATTAACCTCTTCGTAACACTTTGGACACAACTTTTTTCCAGGGATCAAAACTACTTCATTGTTGACACTCTTGAAATCAGTGCAAATTTCCAAGGTGAGTTTTCTCAAATTTCCTGTTCTACTGCCATGTATTTTAAAAAGATTACAACAGTTGCGTTGGAGGGATTCATAATAATTCAAATATTTTGCCTTGTGATGTTCGCAGATATCACCTTCTGAATCCTTGGTATAGTTAAAAATTCTGAATTCAAGAATTTGCCGATCTTCCAATGGTAATTCTTGGAGGTTAGAAACGCTTGTTTTGTTAGTAAAAACATTTGAATGACAAGCATCGTTTACTAATCTCCCAATGTAGCATCGATTATCTTCCATATTTGCACATTAAAATCAACGCTATTAAATAGTATTCTTATAAAATATGTCAACGAATCATAAAATCTAACTATTTTTCAACATTTCAGATGGTAACAGCGACGCTTTAATGTAAACATAAAACTTACACAAGAGTAAAACTCACACTTTAATGTAAACATAAAGCTCACACAAAACTCTTCTACATTGACGTACGAGGACTTCGTAAAGCTTACGGAAGCCAACACATGTAAACACCGACTGCACGTAATGGCCTTTCGTACACTTGCGCAGCCGGCTTAGAGCCAAAGCAGATAGACCGACATCTTAGGGGTCCTTACCACGGGGTACTTTCTTGCGCTTACGCTTATGTTTACGTTTAGTGAAATGCGATATAAATCGAGAATATTGATATATCGAGGTTCTAACAGACATCTCACCCATAAACAATTAAGTGTTCTGATTGGTCAATATTGGAAGACGCAGTATGACATTTTCGAGATTCTCGATTATATCGAATTTCACTAAACGTAAACGTAAGCGTAAACGTAAGAAAGTACACCGTGGAAACGGCCCCTTACTGACTTCTATGAGGATGTTTTACGTCAAGCTACAGTGACCACCAGTCAGTGGTTGCTTTCCATCTACGACACAGCAATCACCTCATCTTTATTTAACATTAGCGAACGACGAGGATGCAACGATTGCCGTGTCACACCGTGTCACTTCTATGTCTCTTGTTGGATAATAATCTTATGCGTAGATATTATTTTTTACATTAAAATAATCCAGATGACTTATGAACGTACTTCTTATATCGTACATATATTTAAAATGTAAATATTCTAAAGCGCCAACCGAAAATTAGCAACCATAACCAAGAGTGTCCGACTATGCTTTTCTGCTGTGTCGAATCGTGTCGTGGCGTGTCGTTGTTGGAAAGCACCGCGTTCGACACTGTGTCGATGTGTGTCGTCTAAAAGCCTTGATGGAAAGCAGCCTAAGCTGCTGTGTCGAATCGTGCCGAGGCGTGTCGTTGTTGGGAAGCACCGTATTCGACACTGTGTCGATGTGTGTCGCCTAAAAGCCTTGATGGAAAGCAGCCAGTATGTATGTCACACAGACGTTACGAGAGGACCAGCTCACGTGCTGCCGCCTGGCGGCACAGCTTGGCTTAAAACATCCTCATAAATTTGTAATAATAAGGCAGTGTCATAAGTGAACTCGCGAAAATGTCACTAGGTTTATGTAATCAACTTGAAAACATCCAAATAATCATTTAAAATTTAAGATTATATATTCAAGATACTATGAACACAATGAGCGAAATACAAAATACACGTGATAATACCGTATTTTTGTATGAAAATAATGCAAAAACGAGGTTAGAAAAAATGTTGTAACTCAAAAACGAAGCCTAGGGGCAGAACCAAATTTTAGGGCAGTTTTCTACTACATTTGGACAAAGTTTTCCCAGAATTTAAATATCAATAAACATATGTAGAAACTGATGGCAGTGCTGCTAACATAGCGATTTTCGTAAAAACACCCAACTTTAAAGCGCTGTAACAGCGGCCCTTTTTAATGATATTGAACGTTTAAAAAATAAAATTAAAGGTTTTTTCATGACCTAAAAAGTGGTCCCAGGTAGATCTCAAGATATGCTAACCACGTAGGTCAGCACTGTTTCAAACATGACCGAAAAAATGACAAAATTCGAGTTTACGTTTGGCTTTGTGAAATTCGCATTTTGTATTTCAATAAATCGTAATATTTTTTTTCTAAAAGTTG